AGGTGGGCACAGTTAATCGAAAAGTTAACTTCGCTAATCGTTAATTCGCGACTTGAAAAGTTAACTTCGATAATCGTTAATCGTTAAATTTTTGAGAATATAACGCAAGTTAAAGTTATCCGTTAAGAGTTAAATCATCGGAAAGTTATACTGATGTTTGAAGCTAATTATAAGTACCTAATAGATAATTGAAATAGAATAAGCTGGGCAGAGGGTATCGGGTATAGTATTTTTAATACCTATTTGGAAGTACCAGTCGTTTTAGTGATTTGTTCGTAATTGATGAACAAGGATGCACACCATCCTTGTTCATCAATTCCAAATGGGTATTAAAAATACTATACCTATACTCCTACACAGGTGAATGTGAATAAATAAAACTAAAAGTATCTAGATCTAAAAAGCGGCACTTTTTCCAATTTAGGTCGCTGATTTATTTACCAATCACCTCTGCAAGAAAAACGAGCTTATAGAACAATGCAGAGTAGACAACGCCACAGCCCAACGATACGCCTCAGTTCACAGCCTACCTAACAACAGATTAACTAAGGGCTTGCGCATCGATCTCACTGTACGGAATCGGGTTTGGAGTCATACTAGAACAGTTCCAAACTGCGTAGTGTAGCGAACTGAAATTTTTCTACCTACGCCTGTGCGAACTGTCCCGATTGACCTTGACGCGCAAATTAAGCAAACAAAATGACGTCATTTACGAACGTAACGGACTAAAGTTAACGGAAGTCCAATGTAACCCCACCGAACATGCAATGTTACGAAAGCCTAATGCAATATTACTCTGATATTCTCTGAACTTAGTTTCGCAACATTACAATGTAATATTGAATTATTTTTGACACAACATTACGTTAATAAATTACAAAATGGAATATCCTTGAAATTTTAACGCATATTAGAAATTATAGCTTGTACGCAAATTAACATTGTAAATATGCATTTAAATTGAACTGGTATAATTTTTGCAATGTTATAATAACTACCAAATGTAAACTTGCTGCAAAATTGGAAATATAACTTGTAGGTAAGGTTACATCGCAAAGATGCCTTAAAGTTGTGTTGATATTATTTTGCAATGTTATAATTTAATATTGAATGTAAACTTGCTGCAATATAGCAGAAATAATATATTGGAAAATCGAACGCTTTGCCGCCATTAATAACGATCGGAACGACATCGGGGATACGAACTAAACCGAAAGCAAATCGACGCCATCAAGTCGCTGTTTGTCGTTTGAGTTGAGTGCTGTGTCTGCTTGTTGAATGTTGTGTCTGTGATAAAGCGAATCTCGGCTAAATTGTTGGTGTTTGTGTTGGGATTATGTATTGGATCGGTTCAGGTAGTGCTTTGCTTTTTGGTTATTTTTATTATTCAGTTTTTATTTTAGAACCTGTGGAAATGAAATAAATATACAGCGATTACAATGGATGAGGATTCAAATAAGGTGAGTAAGGTTTGCATAGTCAATAAATACTTTTTACAAAAATACTGCGGAATGGGGCCCCTTTTTTTGTAAACCGTAACCTCTTTTTTTCATACCTACAAATCCCGTATTATTATTATATTACTTATTATGATTTTACGATAATATTTTAGTTAGGATCAAAAATATCGTAAACCGTTTGGTAGGTAATGTCCAGAAAGAAAGTGGCTACGACGGGGAATAATTATTGTAATAAAAATACAGAACTACTCCCTGATTTTGTTTTTGTTCCAGGTGACAATATAAGTAGCCTCTGTGGTAGCAGCCAATACCTATTTCGTCCTGTGTGTCAACCAATCTAAAATTTCGCTTTTTTTTTCTGTTTAGAATTTTTATTTATTTTGCTTTGAGATATTACTTTTTACGTTTTGTTTTTCACCTAAGTATATTTTTTTATTGTGAGTATTATATAGATATACATAATATACCTACCAACCTTTTTATTTTGTTTTCCAAAAACTTGTACTTTTATTCATAATAAAATATCTACCTAATATATTATGATTATGGGTTTCAGGCACAAATTTTAACAGCTTGTTTTTAGAACAAGCTGTTAGAGTTTATGCAGTAGCAACATTACTTTTTTATTGCAGTAAAGTGGCGAACCCAATATATTTGTAATAAAAATGCAATATTGCAGTAAACTTACTAATAAATTGCAAGTAACCCTAAGGTATATTTGAATTTGTAACCTTACACTCGTAAGTTTGCTGAAGTTTTGATCTAATATTCCAGTAATATTGCTGAAAGGTTATCATTCATAAACCTTGCATTTGTAATATTACCCTAAGGTTGTTTCAGTACTTGCCGCAATACTGCGTCAACATTACAGTAAACTTCAATATAACCTTACAAGTTTGCAGTGTAATGTTACCTCATTATTACTGTAATCTTATTTTGTTCAGTGGGACGGAAGTTAAGAAAACCGTTAATATTTTTTTGGGTTAACTTAAAAGTTAAATTTAAGCAATTTTTTTAACTTCGTTAATTAACGGATAACGTATTAACGGTTTTCTGCCCAGCTTTGACTAATACTAATTCCTGTTAAAAAGCAAATTGACAAGAAGTGAATAATCTTACAAATTCTGACTTTATATAATAAGTTATTGTTCAAGTACAAATAAGTGGATTGTTGCGGAACTTATGGGTGGACCTACCAGCCATCTACTCACCAATATACTGTTGAACTATTCAAGTTAGACATTCACCTGAAACGTGTAGTTTTTGAGCTAATGAGAAAAACTCAAAACTGAGAGAATCAAGTTAGTATTATACTTGAACAACATATTGGTGAATAGATGGCTGCGGAACTCGCTGCGCTCGTCCCGCAGAGGTCCACCTATAAATTCCGCAACAATCTACTCGTTTGTACTTGAATAACTTGTCACATTATATTACTAGTTTGGTAAAGTAAAATTACTAATTCCTGTTAAAAGGCAAATTGACAAAAAGTAGATAATCTTACAAATTCTGACTTTATATAATAAGTTATTGTTCAAGTACAAATAAGTGGATTGTTGCGGAACTTATGGGTGGACCTCGAGCGAGTTCCGCAGCCATCTACTCACCAATATACTGTTGAACTACTCAAATAAGACACTCACCTGAAACGTGTAGTTTTTGAACTAATAAGAAAAACTCAAAACTGAGAGAATCAAGTTAGTATTATACTTGAACAACATATTGGTGAATAGATGGCTGCGGAATAAATCTATAATAGAAAAAAAGTTTTGACCTTTCAAAATTTTCCAAAATCTAAATCATAAAGTAGTAGGTACCTCAGTACTGAAACGATGAAATTTCAGATAACTGATCATTTGGGACCTCCCAAACTCCATAGGTAGGTACATTAAATTAGTCTAAAATTTTGAGCAGGAATCTATGAAAAAAATACATCACAGAATAAGCAACATAAATTTTATAAAAAAATAAGCTCCATTCCTCAGTAGTTTTATTTTTTTGTAACATAAAAAAACATTGAAGAATGTTTCATCGCCTCAAATTGAAAATCGCCTGTAAATCAGAAAAACGTACCAAACTCACACAATAAAGAAATAACAGAACACCTAATTTCATTAGTAAGTTTTAAAAAAACTAGTAACATAAATCAACGTCTTGGCCCAACTGAACGCATTCGTTTTTGTTTGAAAATGATAAAGACTTCTTCTAATCTGCCATCGTTTCAATTTATCACAGTTTTGCAGGCTTGCATTTAAAACTTAACACCTTCTACCCAGAAAGTTTACTAGGTATTTGCTTCATTTATTTATTTAAATTTTGGCCCTAAAACCGAATGAACTAATTTTCTTATTACATTGAAAAAAATCTCTTTTTTTTTTGTCAAAGTATCGTCAGAAATCTCATTTTCTTAAAAGAAAAATATCGTCTCATGTGGTATATTGACCGTCATTTGCCCCCGAAAAGAAGTGGGTCAAAAAATCCCTCAAAGTTATTTTGGTCCTTGGGGCCATAAAGCTTAGCTGTAAAAATCTCATTTTCACTTCAAACGAACCCACTCTAAGGACCAATGTTTGTTACATTCTATTATACTTTCTCACGTCTCGTATTTATGGACAAAATATTCACTCAACTATAAAAAAAAAAAATCATGAGTTAAAGCCAAAACAACAAACTTGCCAGACAAATAATGCAAAAATTTCGTGTTGGTTTTATCCATCAAAAAGTTGCTCCAAGTGTATATCTTGGCAAATTGGGTCTAGCAGTAATCTTCTCTCGTACGTACATAACTTAGATATTTTATTAAGGCCCTTGTAACCATAAATACACCGCATAATAGAACATAAAGCGCTCACGAAGTTTTTCTCAACTGAATAAAGATGTAGGTACCTATTTCTCCCTTAAAACAAAACTTTTTCGTTTTGTATTTTGGGTTTTTTCTTTATGTTTCTGTTCACAATAGATAGTTAAGAAAATGTTATTTTTAATTGAAAAATATTATTACATTCCATGTATTGTAAGTTTTCTATACATATTGTCGAATAATATAGTCTGTTTTCAGACATTAATACAACAAGGCTGTTTTATCAACACTTAATTTGCTAATGCGTCTGAGTTTCATAATAAAATATCATTTAGTTTTTTTTTTGTCTATATTTTATTTGCCACTTGGCATGCAATATAGTTTTTCCCCATATAAAAACTTTGATTCAATTAAAGGACGTTGAACTGGGTACAAAGTAAATCGATTATTTTAAATAATATGTCTTATGTAATTCTAAGTAAAAAAGTATATACCTTATTAGAGGATTAAATAATGTTATTGGGAATTAATCTTGTTTGGTATTTTTATTCCTATAAATTCAATGTTTGGACATTCTTGAAATCCGATACATTTTTGATGAGTCAAAATAAATCTAGGGTCTAGGGTTTCCCAAAAAAAGCAGATTATTAGGTAATCCAGAATGATCCAAAAAATTTAATCTTGACACATTATAAATTAATGTTTTGATTTCTGCGTTTGAAAAATTTCAATTGACTTGCCTTGATGAGTGATAATGAAAAGATGTTCATCGTGCACAGCTTTGTTACTTTCTTCGCTGAGTAATCTTTGAGCCTGGAGTATTTTATCCAGCATCAGGTATTCTCCATAGAGCATACCTGCTTCGTCGTCCAATTGTTCTCCATCTTGAGCTGCATCGCTGGAACAATAATTTTTTCGGTTTATTTACATCATTATTATGCTTATAGTTACCAAATATTTCCTAATAAGAAAAAGGTTATCGCAAAGTTTAAACACGCGTTATAAATTGGTTTCTTATGAAATTTTTACAATAATATTATTTTGGTTTAATTACTTGAAATTCTACTTCAAGTACAAATAGGTACTTTAAGTATTTCACTTGAATTACTTTTTTTGTTATGTACTTGTACTTTTACTTCCAATATCTATTCTAAAATATGTACATGTTTTTGAGCAAATTGACTTTTGAAGTTTTTGACAAAATTTAGACTAAAAGTCAACTTTGAGGTTCAATTACTCGGAAACTTTCTGAGCGATCGAACTCAATTTTGCACAGATTTATAGAGAATTTAATGGTTTTTCCAATGGTATATAATTTATTTCAATTTGCTCAAAATTTAACAAAGATATGACCATGTCAAGATTTTGAAAATTTTTCAGAATCAAAAATAAGATTTCCTCTTTATTTTTATTTCTTTTTTAAATGGCCATTTGAAAATGATGTCAGGATTGTTTTCCATTAATTTAAACCCACTTTATCGATTGGTGAAGTCAAAATTGAGCAAAACTGAAAAATGAAAAAATCGAGTTTTTTATAACCCCCTTCGAATTCTGATTTCAAAATATTCAAACCTCAAATGCTCAATAACCGTTGAGCAAATTTCATTGAAATTTTTAGCATTTGTAGCTCTCAATAAGCGCTAAAAACCCTGTAATTTACAATATTCCCAGGTTTATAGTTTTTAAGCAAATTGAGTTTGAAGTTTTTGACAAAATTTGGTCCAAAAATCAACTTTGAAGTTCAATTACTCAAAAACTAATTGAGCTAATAAACTCAAATTTGCAAGAATTTATAGAGAATTTAATACTCTTTCCAACGGTATATAACTTATTTCAATTTGCTCAAAATTTAATAAAGATATGGGCAATTGCTCATAACCATGTCAAGATTTTGAAAATTTTTCAGAGCCAAAAATAGGATTTTCTTTTTATTTTTGTTTCTGCTTAAAATGGCCTTTGAAAATGATGTCAGGATTGTTTTCCATTAATTTTAACCCACTCTATCGATTGGTGAAGTCAAAATTGAGGAAAACTGAAAAATGAAGAAATCGAGTTTTTTAGGGTACCCCCTTTGAATTCTGATTTCAAAATATTCAAACCTCAATTGCTCGGTAGCGGCTAAGCAGATTGCATTGAAATTTTTAGCATTTGTAGCTCTCAATAAGCGCTAAAAACCTTGTAATTTACAATATTCCCAGGTTTATAATTTTTAAGCAAATTGAGTTTGAAGTTTTTAACAAAATTTGGTCTAAAAATCAACTTTGAGGTTCAATTACTCAAAAACTATTTGAGCTATTTAACTTAATTTTGCACGGATTTATAGAGAATTTAATAGTCTTTCCAATGATATATAACTTATTTCAATTTGCTCAAAATTTAACAAAGATATGGGCAATTGCTCTTGACCATGTCAAGATTTTGAAAATTTTTCAGAGCCAAAAATAGGATTTTCTTTTTATTTTTGTTTCTGCTTAAAATGGCCTTTGGAAATGATGTCAGGATTGTTTTCCATTAATTTTAACCCACTTTATCGATTGGTGGAGTCAAAATTGAGCAAAACTGAAAAATGAAAAAATCGAGTTTTTTTTATAAAGGTACCCCCTTTGAATTATGATTTCAAAATATTCAAACCTCAAATGCTCGATAACCGTTGAGCAAATTTCATTGAAATTTTCAGCATTTGTAGCTCTCAATAAGTGCTAAAAACCCTGTAATTTACAATATTTCCAGGTTTATAGTTTTTAAGCAAATTGAGTTTGAAGTTTTTGACAAAATTTGGTCTGAAAATCAACTTTGAGGTTCAATTACTCAAAAACTAATTAAGCTAATAAACTCAAATTTGCAAGAATTTATAGAGAATTTAATACTTTTTCCAATGGTATATAACTTATTTCAATTTGCTCAAAATTTAACAGAGATATGGGCAATTGCTCATGACCATGTCAAGATTTTGAAAATTTTTCAGAGCTAAAAATAGGATTTTCTTTTTATTTTTGGTTCTGCTTAAAATGGCCTTTAGAAATGATGTCAGAATTGTTTTCCATTAATTTTAACCCACTTTATCGATTCGTGAAGTCAAAATTGAGCAAAACTGAAAAATGAAAAAATCGAGTTTTTTATAAGGGTACCACCCCCCTTTGAATTCTGATTTCAAAATATTCAAACCTCAAATGCTCGATAACCGTTGAGCAAATTTCATTGAAATGTTCAACATTTGTAGCTCTCAATAAGCGCTAAAAACCCTGTAATTTACAATATTCCCAGGTTTATAGTTTTTAAGCAAATTGAGTTTGAAGTTTTTGACAAAATTTGGTCTAAAAATCAACTTTGAAGTTCAATTACTCAAAAACTAATTGAGCTAATAAACTCAAATTTGCAAGAATTTATAGAGAATTTAATACTTTTTCCAATGGTATATAACTTATTTCAATTTGCTCAAAATTTAACAGAGATATGGGCAATTGCTCATGACCATGTCAAGATTTTGAAAATTTTTCAGAGCTAAAAATAGGATTTTCTTTTTATTTTTGGTTCTGCTTAAAATGGCCTTTAGAAATGATGTCAGAATTGTTTTCCATTAATTTTAACCCACTTTATCGATTCGTGAAGTCAAAATTGAGCAAAACTGAAAAATGAAAAAATCGAGTTTTTTATAAGGGTACCACCCCCCTTCGAATTCTGATTTCAAAATATTCAAACCTCAAATGCTCAATAACCATTGAGCAAATTTCATTGAAATTTTCAGCATTTGTAGCTCTCAATAAGTGCTGAAAACCCTGTAATTTATAATATTTCCAGGTTTATAATTTTTAAGCAAATTAAGTTTGAAGTTTTTGACAAAATTTGGTTCAAAAATCAACTTTGAAGTTCAATTACTCAAAAACTAATTGAGCTAATAAACTCAAATTTGCAAGAATTTATAGAGAATTTAATACTTTTTCCAATGGTATATAACTTATTTCAATTTGCTCAAAATTTAACAGAGATATGGGCAATTGCTCATGACCATGTCAAGATTTTGAAAATTTTTCAGAGCCAAAAATAGGATTTTCTTTTTATTTTTGTTTCTGCTTAAAATAGCCTTTGGAAATGATGTCAGGATTATTTTCCAATAATTTTAACCCACTCTATCGATTGGTGAAGTCAAAATTGAGCAAAACTGAAAAATGAAAAAATCGAGTTTTTTATAAGGGTACCCCCTTTGAATTCTGATTTCAAAATATTCAAACCTCAAATGCTGGATAACCGTTGAGCAAATTTCACTGAAATTTTCAGCTTCTGTAGCTCTCAATAAGCGCCAAAAACGCTTTAATTTTCAATATTCCCAGGTTTATAGTTTTTAAGCAAATTGAGTTTGAAGTTTTTGACAAAATTTAGACTAAAAATCAACTTTGAGATTCAATTCCTCAAAAACTAATTGAGCTAATAATCTCAAATTTGCAAGAATTTATAGAGAATTTAATACTCTTTCCAATGGTATATAACTTATTTCAATTTGCTCAAAATTTAACAAAGATATGGGCAATTGCTCATGACCATGTCAAGATTTTAAAAAATTTTCAGAGCCAAAAATAGGATTTTCTTTTTATTTTTGGTTCTGCTTAAAATGACCTTTAGAAATGATGTCAGAATTGTTTTCCATTAATTTTAACCCACTTTATCGATTCGTGAAGTCAAAATTAAGCAAACCTGAAAAATGAAAAAATCGAGTTTTTTATAAGGGTACCACCCCCTTCGAATTCTGATTTCAAAATATTCAAACCTCAAATGCTCAATAACCGTTGAGCAAATTTCATTGAAATTTTCAGCATTTGTAGCTCTCAATAAGTGCTGAAAACCCTGTAATTTACAATATTTCCAGGTTTATAGTTTTTAAGCAAATTGAGTTTGAAGTTTTTGACAAAATTTGGTCTGAAAATCAACTTTGAGGTTCAATTACTCAAAAACTAATTAAGCTAATAAACTCAAATTTGCAAGAATTTATAGAGAATTTAATACTCTTTCCAACGGTATATAACTTATTTCAATTTGCTCAAAATTTAACAGAGATATGGGCAATTGCTCATGACCATGTCAAGATTTTGAAAATTTTTCAGAGCCAAAAATAGGATTTTCTTTTTATTTTTGTTTCTGCTTAAAATGGCCTTTGGAAATGATGTCAGAATTGTTTTCCATTAATTTTAACCCACTTTATCGATTCGTGAAGTCAAAATTGAGCAAAACTGAAAAATGAAAAAATCGAGTTTTTTATAAGGGTACCACCCCCCTTCGAATTCTGATTTCAAAATATTCAAACCTCAAATGCTCAATAACCGTTGAGCAAATTTCATTGAAATTTTCAGCATTTGTAGCTCTCAATAAGCGCTAAAAACCCTGAAATTTACAATATTCCCAGGTTTATATTTTTTAAGCAAATTGAGTTTGAAGTTTTTGACAAAATTTGGACTAAAAATCAACTTTGAGGTTCAATTCCTCAAAAACCAATTGAGCTAATAAAATCAAATTTGCAAGAATTTATAGAGAATTTAATGCTCTTTCCAATGGTACATGACTTATTTCAATTTGCTCAAAATTTCACAAAGATATGGGCAATTGCTCTTGACCATGTCAAGTTTTGAAAATTTTTTAGATCCAGAAATAGGATTTTCTTTTAATTTTTGTTTCTCCTTAAAATGGCCATTTGGAAATGATGTCAGGGTTGTTTTCCCATAAATTTGACCCACTGTGTCAAATAGTTATTTACATACTTCAAGTACCTACTAAAATATACTTCAAATAATGTCACTTTACTGGAAGCTCAATGTTTTTACTCAAGTAAATTATTTGATGAACAAAGTTTACTTGAAAATCAACGTATACATTTAAAAAACTTGTACTTGTAGTAAATCAAGTTAATCTATTGACTTCATACTTGTACTTCAAGTACTTTCGTAATAACTGCCTATAGTACATAGTAATATTTTTTGGGATTTTGCATAACAGTTAGTTTGAATTAAGTTATACTTAGTATAAAATATTAGGAAGTTATTTGCTCAATTTTCACTAAATTCTCAAGCAAACAATTACCAATACACATTTCAAATTTTGAAACAGGGTACCAATTTGAAAAAAAGCAAATAAATAATTAAAAATACTTACTAATGTTTTACAGGACAAGCCATATTAATTTAAACTTGTTAGTAAACGTTCAAACTAGCTCACTAAACGGAACTGAACTGAATAGCACAAACTGCTAACTATCCAACCGCATGTAATTCAGTTACAGGAAAAATTATCCACTCATATAATATTGGAAACCTATCGGGTTTTGTTGTATTTGGATAGTCTTGAGGGGAAGATAGTGTAATAATTGTATATTTAATAACGTATTTCGTTGTTTTTTCTAGCACTAGTTCCCCCAAATCTTATAGTTTTCGCTAAATTAGGCAACTGAACCAGATAATGAAGTAAGAAATATTTAATTTGACGTCAATGGATTTTTAGAACATAACTAATGGGAATAAGAGCAAATTCACAACAAATTTAGTTGTATTTCTTCCAAGTAGGTACTAGAAAAATAAACGAATCGCTTCTTTTTGCCTTTCATCCTCCTGCTAACAAATAGTTTTTTTTTTTATTTCGAGTTCCATAACGTGCGGTCTTTAACGCAATAAATCTTAAAAATATTATAGTCCTGTAAGGAGGCTCCCAGACGCCCCTGCCGCAAATTTAATATGAACCCCGAGTGGATATAGAGCAAAAAAAATCACACGGGATAAAGGCTAAACAATATCTGTTTCGTGAGTGGAAGACAAATGCGACTGTGAATAATTCTCTTTTGGGAAAAAAAAAACCCACCCTGAACCACATAAATTTGATTTAGTAGTAGTGGAGGATTGCAGCTACAAAATGTTGATAATAAAATCGTATTTTATTTTTAGTTTACCAGGTCAACATATAGACGAAATAGTAAGTTTTCCTTATTTTCCTGTATACCTTAGTCACGGAATAACAGCTAGTGAATATGAGAAAGAAAAAAAAATAAAAGTCTAGACAAGTAAAGAGACACAAATTTCTTCTAAAAATAATTACGACATGAAAAAACTTATTTTGATCTTTGAAAGAAACGTAATACACAAAGACAGGGTTATTTTTGCGTGGGAGCTCCTTAATAGGATTCCCAACTTGTTTTTATAATTATTATTTTAACAAAGATAACAAACATATACACAGAGAGTATTAAATATTTTGGCTGAAAAATTACGATTCCAACTGCACACACATCAGACACAAATTCCAGTTATTTATTATCTCCGGTGACAATTACAGAACTAAAACTCAAATTTATATTTTAATGAAATGCCCTCTGGCCAGGGGTCCACGATATGTAATAAATTAAACTTGCAAATTCGGGATAATCCGGATCCAGGAGGGATCCAATTCCTGCACTTAACGATCCAATAATAATAAAAATATAATGTTATCGAAAAACACAGTTAATGTTTGTTCGCTACGCAAAACGACATCCATAAAAATCGGGAACAAAAGGGATATTCGACTTTTTCCAGGGATAATGCACGGATTTAAATCTTTTTGTTGTTTGCGGTTGTTGAGCAGTCTCGACATTAGAGAAAACAAATCTGACGATGGCGTTGAAGCAAAAAAAATCTGTTTTATGTTACGAGACTACGACGTCGTATCTAGTTTCAATAATAACTTTGAGACAATGGAAAAAAAATGATGTTTTATGTAGTTCTAACAATAAAAATAAAAAGCTTTACAATGTCCAACAAACATTTATCCAAAAAAAAACAGATGGAAAAACCTTATTTCATCTGTTTTGGAAAACGTAGTAATTAAAATCCTAGAAACTCCAAACAGTAATTTATTGTGGGATTTGTAACCGAAATATATGAAAAAAAGAATTGAAAAATCCAAAAATTTATCCCAAATTCCTTAACGCAATTTTTTCTCAGGGACTGTAAGTCCAAATGAGCTGAAATTTTCAGAGATTATAGTCCTGCATTGGGATAAGGAATCGCTGAAAATTTCAGCTTTCTATCTTTAATAAATATAACAAAGTTATGGGTCTTCAAAGTTTTAAAAAATCCAAACCATGAGGTTGCTACCTTCTTACTAAAATGATTTTTCATGTTGCGATTTTGTGTCCTAATGGTTCTTTGGGATCCCCCAAACTCCATACACTAAATTATTCTGAGATTTGATTCTATAAAAAAGACACTCAGGAAAATTAAAAAATTGATAAATCAACCCAAATGGCTAAACACGTTCTTACTTCTGGAACTATACGTCTAAATCTGCTGGATCGGGGATTGTAGTCCTCTATACTGGAATAAAAATCGCTGAAAATTTCAGCTTTCTATCTTTAATAGAAAAAAAGTTATGACCTTTCAAAGTTTTCCAAAATCTAGATCATAAGGCAGCTAGGTACAGGGTGTTTTTTTATATATTGACACCCCACCTACAGCCATTTACCTTTACAAATAGATGAAAGGTGTAAATACAAAAGTTGTATAGTAATTGCTAAATTTTTAAAATCCATGGTCAAAAACAAAAATTGAATGTCAGAAATGTGAAATATTGCATGCTTTTAGCTTTTTTCAAATGCTATATTTGGTTCTATATTCTTGAAGAACACAATTTCCCGATTCCAAAACTATATAGTTTGTCTATATTTGGTTGACCGTCTCCAAAATATTTGGTTCTAAAAATTTTAAAAATACTATCAGAGAAACCAAGTACCTCAAATTTTATCTGCAGCTTTCACTATACAGGTAGAATGGTTCACAGAATCAGTAGTAGGATAGTATATTTACAATTTTTGGAGCCGAATATATGAGAGATTGCTCAGTCAAATATAGATTGGGGCATTGTGCTCTTCAAGAATATAGAATGAAATATAGGGCATTCCGTTTGAAAAAAGCTGGAAGCATGCAAAATTTCACATTTTTGTCATTCAAATTTTGTTTCTGACCATGGTTTCTAAAAATTCAGCCAAAACTGTACAACTTTTGTATTTACACCTTTCTTCTACCTGTAATGGTATCTAAAGGCTTTTAGGTGGGGTGTCAATATAAAAAAAAAAACACCCTGTAAAAATAAGTGGATTATTGCGGATCTTATGGGTGGACCTCTGCGGGACGAGCGCAGCGAGTTCCGCAGCCATGTACTCACCAATATACTGTTGAACTGTTCAAATAAGACACTCACCTGAAACGTGTAGTTTTTGAACTGATAAGAAAAATTCACAGCTGAGTGAATCAGGTTAGTATTGTAGTTGAACAATATATTGGTGAATAGATGGCTGGGTCCACCCATAAGTTCCGCAACAATCCACTCGTTTGTACTTGAATAACTTGTGACAATATATATGAATTGTTGTAAAGTGGCAACAGTGTCGGACGTGTTGTTGTTTTGTTGGCAAGTTTTTTGGTGAAATTCGATTCAAAAGTGAAAAGTTATTGACCAAAACGTAATAATCAGGTTGTGGAAATACCATCTCATCAGCGAAAGTGAAGGCAAGCATAAAACACAAGGAAAAATTTTATACATCCTTAGTTGTTTACGTCCTCAAGACCCGGACCAAGTACAGTGTTGCCAAGATGGATGAAAATGAAACCTGTGATATTTGTAAAAAAAAAGTCCAGGAGAATCAAGAAGGATTAATGTGTGAGGGATGCTATATATGGAAGCACAGAATATGTACCGGATTGTCTGTGAGAACATATCAGCAATTAAACAAGTCAACACTACCATGGATCTGTGAAAAGTGCAAGAATGCTGAAAGCAAAAAACCACAAAAATTAAAAACCGATAACTACACGCTGGATGATGTAATGTTAAAGCTAAATGAGATAGACAAGAAATATGATGTCCTACTTTGTAAATACAATGAACAAATCCAAATAAACGAGAAACTGCAAAACGAGATTAACGACATAAAAATGCATTACAATAAACGGGAACAACAAGGATTAAAGAATAATCTTATAATACAGGGAGTTCCGCAACACCATACTGAAAATGTCCAAGAAATAATAACAAACATAGCAAGAGAACTGGACGTCCAAGTTGGATGTACATTCAAGGCCTACAGAATTGGAAAATTTTCAGATAATGCCAGAAATAGCTCATCAAAACCAATAAAGATCATTTTTGATGAAGAGGAGATGAAAGCTAATATGCTCAAGTCAAAAAAAAAAACTAAATTTAAATAGCAACAATATAGGCCTTGGCGGAAATAGTAAGATTTACCTAAGTCATGATCTCACCCAAATGAATCAAGAGCTATTTAAGGCAGCAAGAATCTATAAAAAGGACAAAGGATATGAGTTTGCTTGGATCAGCAACGGAAATATACTCCTTAGAAAGGATCAAAATAGTCAGACTATATTGGTGCAGAAAATGGAGCAACTAAAAAACTAGAGGGGCCTCGAGACAATATCAGAATTATTTATATGAATATCCAAAGTATGAGAAACAAATTAGATGAGCTTCAGTGTTTTGTGATAAACCAAGACTGTGAGATCCTAGTGTTAGTAGAAACATGGCTAGACAATAATGAAATACCAATCTTTACAATAAATAATTATAGAGCAGTGCATTCGTGTAGAGAAGGAAGAGGGGGAGGAGCCTCCATTTATGTGAGGAATACCATCAGGATGCAGGAAACAGATAAATCAGAAAAAGATGAAGTAGTAAACTGGGTATGTGTAAATGTCGGTGAAAATAACCTAAAAGTAAGTGCAATTTACAACCCGCCCTCTAATCCTTTAACAAATTTTTTTGAATGCTTTGAAACTGTTTTACATAAATATCCAAGAAATCATATCATCTTGGGAGACTTTAATATAAATTTATTGGACATTAATGCTAAAAGTGTATTTCAATATAAAGACTTGGTAGCGTTGCATAATTTTAAAATAGTTAACTCAATTACAAACGAGGATGCAACAAGAGTTACGGATCGTTCTAAAACTATTATAGATCATGTACTTATAAATAAAAAGGTTGATATATGTGATTCATTCAGTGTAGAGCATAATGTCCTCTCAGACCATAAATTCCTTAAATATAACATCAAAGAAAATGTCAAAATTTACAAAAAGAAAATTATACATGAAACAAAACAAATAGATCATAGAAAATTTCAAGTTAGCTTTTCAGAAAAAATTATAAACACAAATATTGATACATTTAATGACTTAATCAACCTAATAATGTCTTGTAAAGAAAATGCTCAGTTTACTAAAAAAATCAAAATCCGAGAAAAT